CCCCCCTCCTCTCCCTGTCAAAAGACATTCCTACAGCAAGTTGTGCCCACCCTCAGATCTCTGCTTTCCTCCCAGATATACAGGTACAGGTGAAACTGGGGCATCCTCCATGTTAAAGGGATGTATAAGTGGGACCTGCATCCCCAAAGTTTGTCTCAGAGTGTGTTAATTGGTATCATTTCCCTCTCCCCACTGAATCAAAGATTGCTTACTCAGAGGCCTCCATCTTCTCACATTCCCTTTGCATTGGAAGCTCTGTTAAATAAGGAGAAGCAGGAAAATACCAAAAAACTCAGCCCTGTGCCACCCCCTGCTGAGCAGCAGTGAGATGTGAATTGAGCTTGGCACTGCCATTCGTGTCACACCGAGTCAACCACCACTGCTGGTGGCATGCAACGGTGGGGATTAATTGAGATTCACTTAATTAAGTATGGATGCAGGGTTTGAAATGCCACTGCGAAGGCGTCCTCACCGTGTGGCACTGCTGTCAGCAGAGACCAAATGACACCAATGACAGCAAAGCGGGCAAAACAGGGGGAAGAGTCTCTGTGTGGGGCTCCCGGGAGTGCCTCTGTCTGTGTGCTGGTGCAGATGGTCACACATGCCACGAGTGGTGCCCATCCTCAGAAGCGCTGTGTGCAGCCCGGGGACGCGCGGATCGGGGCAGCCCTGCTTGAGCCCGCCTTCAAACCCAATCGCCATGATGAAAAATGAGCCAAAAGCCAAGCGAGCCGTCAGATATCCCCCGACTTGTGCTTACTGCAATGTAGTGACCTGTTCGTAATTAACCTCCCGTTGTAAATGAAAAGAAGTATACACTTATTAACAGAGACAGAGGCCGACGCCAATTAAAGCGGAAGCTGGCGCGGGCTTCCTCGGCGTGCGGCAAAGAGCAGAGGCTGATGAAAGGAGATGAAAGGCGCGGGATGCCTGCGGTGCCGATGCAATATTCAGGAGGTCGCAGAGCCAGGCAGCGCCCGGCCATTGGGGACGTCCTTCGGGGCTGCGTCTCCTGGGGCGGTGGCGAGGAGCACCCAGCTGCCCCCTGCACAAAGGGCCCAGGCGGGCGGATGGGGAGCGGGCGGGCTGCCACGCCTCTGCCTTTGTCTCTCTTTCAAAGCCAATATCCCAGCCCCAGATGGGTTAATACATAATGCAGACAAGCAAGTAATTGGTTGCCTTTGTATGGCCGTCAGCGATCGGTCCCCGGCCCTCTGATCCCCCATTAGTGGTCATGCAAACAACCCTTCCACCCAATTAAGCACAGCTTTGATAGCGCCCTTCCCAATGATGCGCCAGCCCCAAAGCAGCGCTTCGCACATGAGCCACTACCTGTTACCCGGCTTCGGGGACGCGTGGCCCCGCTGCTCGCCGTGCCCCAGCTGCTGAGCCCTGCCTGCAGCCCCCGGCCTGAAGGGAGGCCCGGCTGATGAATGAGCTGGGCAAACTCTGTATTAAAGAGCTGGAAATGGGATGTTAATATACCCCAACTGCTCATCTCGAGAACACATGGGCTCCGGCTTCCCAAAGGCAGCGGTAATGAGGCGGGCTGGGACGCCCACCACCTCCTGCACCTGCCAGGCACACAGAGGACAGCCTGACACTGTTCCTCTAAGGCATGCTGGCATCTTCCCACTGAGCATCCCAGTGCCATCCCACAGAGCATCCCAGCGTGCTCACTGCAAGCATCCTGCTACCATTCCTTAAAGCGTCTGACCATCCTCCTCTAAAACAACCCAGTGCCACCTCCCAAAACATCCCAGTATTATCTCCTGAAGCATCCCAGTATCACCCCTCAGTGCATCCAGCATAATTCCCATCTCAGTGCCTTCCCCTAAAGAATCCCAGTGCATTCTCCTTAAGTGCCCCAGTGTGCTCAGCTAAAGTAGTCCAGTTGCTTATACAGCTTCCTGGCATCACACTCTGAAACATTGCCCCATCACTCCTAAAGCATCCCAGCATCACCACCAAAAGCAGACCAGATTGCTCTGCAAAAACATTCTGACATCATACCCTAAAGCATCCTGGCATCATCTCCTAAAACACCTCTGTGTCACCATCTAAAACACCCCAGTACACTCCCCACATCAAATCTACAGTATGTCAGTGTTATCCCCTGAAGTATCTCTAATGCATCCCATCTTATCCCTTAAAACATCCCACTATGCTTCCCTAAAGCATCACATCATCTCCACAACTTTCCAGTCACTATCCCCTAAGCATCCCACTATCATCCCCCACTGCATCCCAGCACACTCCCCTAAAGCATCCCACGTCATCCCCTTATGCTCCCTTAAAACATCTCATACCATCCCCCTATGCTCTTCTGAAGCATCCTAGGTCATCTCCTGCACCATCCTGTGGCATTTCTTCTAAAGCATCCCATATTGTCCCCTAAACCATCTCATTGTGCTTCCCTAAAGCATCCCATGTCATCCCATAAAGCTTGGAGGCATTACACCCTGAACCTACCACTAGCATCCTCCACAGCAAGCCAGTACTCTCCCCTAAAGCATCTCACAGCAGCCCTAATGTACGTCAGCGTCACTCCCTAAGGCACCCCACATCACCCCTTAAAGCCTCCCCCATGTTCCCTAAAGCACCCCATATCATCTCCCCAGCCTTCCATCCATTTTACCCTGAGCACACCATTATCATCCCCACACCCCTAAAGTTTCCTGCCTGTTTCCTACAGCACCCCACCTTTATCCTCTAGGACGCCCCATTTTGCATCTCTCAGGAGGTGCTCTGGGGACCCATCCAGCCCCCAGCCCCACTGCAGGCTTCACCCCGCTCCCCCCTCTCTCTCCCCCACACTGCCCTATGCTATGTCACACGGCTCTGTATAAATATTCAACACAGCGCACTTCCAGGCGGCAGCGGGGGGCTCCCTGGGGGCATGCAGTATGCTAATAGCAGGGCAGGATGGGATTTACATCCCCTCACAGGCACGGGGCCGCTCATTTGCCCATACAAATGCCTTGTCGCTTATCATTACCGGCTGGGCCACCGTGCAGCTCCGTGCCTCAGTTTCTCCATCCCGACGCCATCCGCAGCACACAAAAGGTTCTGATGTGCAGGGAAAGGGCAACTCTGGCAAACAGGGATACGGAGATGAAGTGTCCATAACTGAATTATGATGGGAGCACCCAGGCACACAAGCCCTGAGCAAACAGTCACTAATCGCTGAATTAAAGGGCAATTAGGTGCCCTGGCGGCAGAATCAATCTGCTAGCAGCCCCCCACTTGCTGTTTGCCCAGCTGATTGTGGGGGCAAATAGGGGGATTAGGGACCAGAGGTTCCTTTGTCTGCTTTCCCTGATCCCAAGAGGAGGGTTCAGGAGTGGGGTCTGTGTGTACCACCCCTTGGAGCCCATCACTCCACCTCGGGCCAGGGTGACCCCCAGGTTAACAGGGAGGGTTCTCTGTTCTGCTCCCAGGCCCAGGCCATGCCCTGTTCCCTGCTCAACTTCTAGAGGCTCCCAGATTCCCCAGTGCTGCAGCATTCAATATTCTGGCATCACTTTCAATTACCATTCCAGAGAAGTGTTTAGATACTAGTAGGATAAACCTATTATTCTGCAGGTCATTTATTTCTGCTTTTTCCTGACAGGAGTCCCCCAGCTGCTGAGCCCCATCGGGAGAAATGGGAAAGATCTGTGTTATTCTTAAATTAATATTTATTTGCTTTCTCTTCTTTGCCCACAAACAAGGGTGAATGTGAATAATGCATGGCCCTGAGGACACCCAGATAGGAGTGCTGCATCGCTGAGCTCCAAGGACTTTCGTGGCTGGGGAGGCTCCCCGATGTGCCCCAGAGAAACCCAGATGTGCACAGATGTGCAGCCATCTGCAATGCCAGCATGGTGCCAGATGTGTGCATCTATCCAGGTGTGCTGCAATCTTCCAGATGTGCACCCAGCCCAGTTCCGAATGTGTGTGTACCTGCTGACAGAAGACCTCCAGATGTATGGCCAGATGTGAACTCAAATTCCACTTACATTCCTGGTTGAAAGCACACGGAGCATTGCTGTGCTTTCAGATATGCACAGATTAAAAGCATCCATCTGTCCAGATGTGCCCACACTGTGGTGGCACACACATACCTACAGATGTTTGATCAGCTGCCACACCGGGACCTTCCCAGCTGCTATCCTGCACAACAGCTGAGCCCTCCAGCTATTTGAGTGTACAGCTGGATGTGAACATCCCAGAGACCCAGTTTACCCACATAAAGTTGGGCATCAACCCAGGATGCCTCCAGATGAGAACCTGTGCTGGTGCACATCTGTGCCTCTCCTTTGCAGACGTTTCATCCAGATGTGTGCATCAAAAAGTGGCCTCTTCTGGGAGAGGGGAGCATGGGCACCTCCAGATGTGCACACACGTTTCCCTGTTTTCTCCCCATTACCCATTCCCACCTCTTCTCTCCTCTGAGCCTCCCCACCGCTGCCAGCCGCAGCTTTGTGCTTTTGCAGCCTGGTCATTAGTGGCACCGTAAGGAGCCCCTTTCCACTCCCGGGGGGGGCGCTGAGGGGCCGCAGTCGGGCTCCAATTAGCACCAGCAGGAGCCAGCTTCGAAAAGACACATTGCTTCACACGTTAGCCTGGCACATTCATAAAGCGGCTAATTGCCAATTATGAATTCGGGAGATACGCGGCGACTGCAGAGCCATGGGGTGCCGGCTGCCCCGGGGGCACTGCTGGAACCGGGACCCAACACAGATTTTGGGATGAGCTGGGGATCCCCAGCTGCCTCTTCCTACCCTTCCTTCTCCTGAAGCCAAAGCGGAGCCCGACTGGTGGAGCTCACTCGGGACATGCCAACATTTCAACAGCCGCCCCCCACTCTTAGATTCCTCCCCATTTGGGACTCCTCCTCCCCATCCCTTTGCCCCTCAGCCCCTCAGCCCCCACCCCCAGGTTACCCCCATATAGGAGAGTCCCACCCCATCCCTTTGCCCCCACTCTAACGGTGACCTCCCCCCTTCTCCCCCCGGACACCCTCTCTCTCCGCTCCCCCCGCTCCGCACCGCTCTGGCCGCGCCCCCTCCCCGCCGGGTCTGGGGGCGGTGCTGCGGGCTGAGCCGTGCCGAGCTGAGCTGGGCTGGTCTAGGTCCGGCCGCGCTGTGCCGAGCCGTGCCGGGCCGTGCCGTGCTGGGTCCGGCAGAGCCGGGCCGAGCCGAGCAGAGCCGAGCCGTGCTGGGTCCGACTGAGTCGCGTCGTACCGGGTCCGGCCGTGCCGTGCCGAGCCCGGTCGGACCGAGCCGGGCCAGCATGCTGCGGTACCTTCTGAAGACGCTGCTGCAGATGAACCTGTTCGCGGACTCGCTGGCGGCCGAGATGTCCAACTCCTCCGAGCTGCTGCTCGGCATCAACGGCAGCGAAGCCGCGCTCGACCTCCGCAACCTCACCGCCGGCAACGGTACGCGTCCGGCCCCGGCCCGGCCCCCGCTCCCTCGCTGTCCCCTTGTCGCGCTGTCCCCCTGTCGCGCTGTTCCGCTGTCCCGCCGACCCATTCCCCCGCTGTCCCGCTGTCCTGTCCCGCTGTCCCGCTGTCCCGATCCCGCCCCGACGCGGGACACAGCGCGCAGCCCCGCAGCCCCAGCTGGGGCTGACCATGGACCTTTCCCTTGTTCCCAAACCCACCGTGTGTCCCCATGCCGGGATCTGTCCCGTATCTCCAAACCAGCTCCATTTTCTCAAGCTTGTCCCTTGTCCCCAAAATGGGAAGGGCTCCTCATCCCCAAACACACTGTATGTTCCCGAACTGGCTCCGTACTCTCAACCGAGAGCGACCCATGTCTCCATATCATTCCCGTCCCAAACAGGAACAGCTCTCGTGTCCCCAGACCGACCGGCTCCGTATCTCTAAACCGACCCCGTGTCCCCTAATTTGTGCCGTGTCCCCAAACCGACCTCATGTGCCCCCATCCCCACAGTTCGCTCCCGTGTCCTCCAGCCGGGACAGACCCAGGGCACAGCGGGTTCTGGAGCTGCGGGGTCGTTCTCCTGAATTTAGAGCACTTTCTGAGTTTTTCCTTTTTCTTTGAGCCCGAACTTTTTGATCCGTTTGGGTCCAAGGCGGCCGATCCGTGTTGGGAGCCTCGCGGGACGCCCCGTCCCACCGCAGCCGACTGGGCTCAGGAGAGGGCACGGCGCGGTCCCCCCCGTGGCAATTAGCCCCTTGCCCAGCTGCGGCCCCCACCCCGCTGCTCCCCCCAACCCCCCGGAACTCTGCAGCATCCTATCCCCACGGCAACGCATCCTGTTCCTATGGCAACGTATCCCCCCGCCCCGCAGGGGTGCCCCTCCCCCTCCCCGAGTCCCTCTGCTGGTGCCACCGATCGCCACGACCCCCCCAGCCCCTCTCAGGCTGGCACTGCGTGTACCGGGCACTGCGAGACAGCAGTGACACTCCGCGACCGAAAGCCGAACTGCAGCTCCGGCGCTGCCACAAGGCCAGGCGGCACCGGGGACGCGGCAGGACGCAGCGGTGGTGGCACTGGGGCCACGTGCGGGATTTGTGGTTCCAGCCCCGCTTTGGGGGCTCCGTGTGCTCCAAGCTCTGCTCTGAGCTCTGGCGCAGCATAAATCCAATGTAGTCACAATGAGCGTTAATTAATTCTTCTGCCCTAACGGTAGGGATTTCCCTGGATCCATTGAGAAGATCCATATACTCTTTGGAGAAGGACGATTTTTCCTTTTTTTTCTTTTTTTCCATTTTTTTTTTCCTTTTCCCTTTCCTTTTCCTTTTTCCTTTTCCTTTTTATTTTCCTTTCTCTTTTTTCTTTTTCCCAATCCCACATCTCTGAGGTCCCACTCATTTCCTGCCTTGCACCCTCCTGGCCTTGCTCCCACCTCACCAGCACCCAGCAAGAGAACCAGGGAGGGGACACATCAGGGTGACATGGGGGGACACCAACACCTCTCCCTGCCCCAACCTCTTTCCCCAACCTGAGCCCCAACCTCTTTCCATCTCATGCCTTTCTGCCTGCACATCCCTGGGCTATGCCACACCCTTCCCCAGGCTCCCACCCACGGCTGGAGGACTCCGCACCCCGCATCGTGGAGCACCCCTTGGACCTGCTGGTGTCCAGGGGTGAGCCAGCCACACTGAGCTGCAGGGCAGAGGGCCGCCCGTCGCCCACCGTGGAGTGGTACAAGGACGGTGAGCGCGTGGAGACGGATCACGAGGACCCCCGCTCCCATCGCATGCTGCTGCCCAGTGGCTCCCTCTTCTTCCTCCGCATTGTTCATGGCCGCCGCAGCAAGCCTGATGAGGGTATCTATGTCTGCGTGGCCAGGAACTACCTGGGTGAAGCCACCAGCAGGAACGCCTCGCTGGAGGTGGCTGGTGAGCCCCAGTTGCACAATCCCCATCTCCACCCCCATCTGTGTCCCTGTTCCCATCCCCATCCCTATTCCCATGGTCTCTGAGATCCCACACATCTCCAGACCTACACCCTTCTGGCCTTGCCCCTTCTCAGGGGAAGGGTTGTCACTCCACTGTGTGCTGGAAAACGTCACCTCAGGGCTAGATTCGAGCACTTGGAGCAGGCACTTTTTGCCCCCAGAAGGGGCTCCTGCAGCAAAAGGAGTGTAGGGATGGGGAAACCGAGGCAATGACATTGCAGCCTCTGTCCCTGCAGTGCTGCGGGATGATTTCCGGCAGTCCCCTGGGGATGTGGTGGTGGCAGCAGGTGAGCCAGCTGTGCTGGAGTGCGTCCCGCCCCGCGGGCACCCCGAGCCCACCGTCACCTGGAAGAAGGACGGCACCCGGCTCAGCGACAAGGATGAGCGCATCACGGTGAGGCCCAGGAGTCCCCAACACAACCAGGTCGGTGTTTGGGCCTGGGCTGAGTGCGGCTCCCCGGCAGATCCGCGGTGGGAAGCTGATGATGGCCACCACGCGCAAAAGCGACGCCGGCATCTATGTCTGTGTGGCCACCAACATGGTGGGGGAGCGGGACAGCGAGCCGGCCGAGCTGGTGGTCTTTGGTGTGTAGGGACGGAGAGGCAGCTGGGGGGGGGTTGGTGTCGACGTGGGGACTCACAGCTGCTGCCCCTCAGAGCGCCCCGCGTTCGGCAGACGGCCACAGAACCAGGCGGTGCTGGAGGACCAGGCGGCCGAGTTCCCTTGTGAAGCACTGGGGGACCCCCCACCCACCGCCCGCTGGCGCAGAGAGGATGGTGAGCTGCCGGCGGGAAGGTGAGCGGGGTGAGGAGTTGGGGGGGGGGGCCAGCACGTCCCAATCTGGGGTGTCTGCTATGGGATGGGTGTCTGTGTAACCCATCCATGTCCTCATTGCACCCCAAACCTTCACATCCAGCATGGCATCCCACACCCCCACGGTGTCTCACATCCACATGACATCCTGCACTCCTATCACATTCCACATCACCTTATGCATCCTGCACCTTCATTATATCCCAAATCCTGATCCAAATCTCTATCATATTCTATACCTTCCTGATGTCCTACCTCCCCCTCACATTTCACATACTCATCCCATCCCACATCTATAACTCACCCCACATCCTTGTTGCATCCTTCACACTCACTACATCATGCATCTCCATCCTTACTGCCACCACACCCTCCATCCTAGCTGCATCCTGTATTCCCATCATATCCCCATCATATCCCACATCCCTGTGGCACCCTCATGGCACCTGGTGCCCTGTTGGCACCGTGGGCTCTGGGGTCTCTCCCCAGGTGGGAGCTACTGGCTGACAACACACTGAGGATCAGTCGGGTGCGGGCAGAGGATGAGGGAACCTACACCTGCATGGCCGAGAACAGCGTGGGCAGGTCGGAGGCCTCAGGCACCCTTATTGTGCGCGGTAAGGGGGAACCCCAAGTGTATGTGCAAGGGTTAAGATTATGTCACAGGGCATGGAACAGCAGTGGGCACAGCTCAGGGAGCTCAGGGAGTGTTGAGACACTGCTCTCAGACATAGGGCTTAGTTTTTGGGTGATGCTATGTTTGGACTCGAAGAGCCTCGTGGGTCTCTTCAGCTGGGGATATTCTGTGATCCTGTGATTCCCTCTCTCCCTTTATGTCAGTGCCCCCGCAACTCATCACCCGGCCCCGCAACCAGACTGTGCCCCCTGGCCAGAGTGTGACCTTCCAGTGTGAGACCACAGGAAATCCTCCACCGGCTGTGTTTTGGCAGAAGGAAGGCAGCCAGGTCCGTCCCCTCCCCACCTCCACCCCCACAGCACCCCACCGTGCACCAAAGCCTTCTGCTTCCCCTTCTGCCCAGACACTGCTGTTCCCTGGGCAGTCCCCGCCGCCTGCCAGCCGCATTTCGGTAGCATCCAGTGGTGCCATGACCATCGCCACCGTGCAGCCCGCCGACGCCGGCTATTACCTGTGCCAAGCCATCAGTGTGGCTGGCAGTGTCCTGGCCAAAGCGCTGCTGGAGGTGGAGGCAGGTAGGTGGTGGTGATGGGTGGCAATGGTCGGGGCACCAAAACAGAGGGGCTCACTCAACTTTATCTGCACGGCAGCGCCCGCTGAGCCCCAACCGCCAGTGATCCGCTGGGGCCCCGCCAACCTGACGGTGCTGCCGGTGGGGGCCACAGTGCAGCTGCCCTGCTGGGCAGAGGGTGAGCCCCCGCCCCATGTGGGATGGCTGAAGGATGGGCGCACTGTGTTGGGTTCTGAGAGCCGCACCAGCCTGCTGGAGAATGGCACTCTGCAGATCAGCAACATGCGGGTGAGCTGCACCAGCACGGGGAAATGGGGAGACACTATGGAGCTGGGGGGCACTGGGATACACTGAGCAAGAGGTGGTGGGTCCAAAAGGTGGTGGGTGCTCAGAATGATGGGCACCCAAGGCGATGGGCACCCCAGGTGATGAGCATCCAAGATGATCCATACAAAAGGTGATGGGCACTCAGGGTGATAGGTACTCAGGGAGATGGGGCAGGAGCTCTTCCCCTTGCAGGTGACAGATTCAGGCCAGTACGAGTGCGTGGCCACCAGTTTGATGGGTGAGATGCGCTGGAGCGGGTCCCTGCAGGTGCAAGGTGAGTCATGGGGATGCCATGGGACCAGAGATGCTGTGGAACTGGAGATGCAGCTTCCATGGATTCCAGTGCCTCTGCCTGCAGGTGATTGATCTCTCCTCTCCCCACCATCCTCAGAGCCTGGCATCCTTCCAGGGCCACCCTCCACCCCACTGGTCACCAATGTTACCAAAAGCAGTGTCACTCTGACCTGGAAAGGGAATGAGCTAAGTGGTGGCACTGCAGTCACCTACGTTGTGGAAGCTTTCAGGTACCACAGAGACCTCCTCTCCAGGTTCAGGGTGACATGGTGACATAGTGTCACCTTGCCATGGGTCACCTCTATGCCCTGGCAGTGAGGCCATGGGTGGCCCGTGGCAGACAGTAGCAGCCAATGTGGAGGGTGAGACACACACAGTGCAAGGCCTCGTCCCCGACACCGTGTACCTCTTCCTGGTGAGGGCACTCAATGCCCATGGGCTCAGCGACCCCAGTGGCATCTCAGAGCCGATCCGCACCCAAGGTGAGACTCAGCAGAGGCGCAAAGAGACACAGCATCCTGGGTGCACCCACATGTCCATGCACCCAGCTCCTGCCCCTTTTCAGCAGACACCAGCCCTACGCCACAGGTGCCCCCAGAGCTGGCACGTGTGGCCGTGCACCTGCAGGAGCCCGTGGTGCTGCCGCCGGGTGCCGTGCGCCTCTCCTGGACCGTGAGCGCGGGGACACGGCGGGTGGGAGGGGACACGGTGCTGCACCTCCATCACCCCCTCATCTCCTGTGTCCTCAGGTGGAGCCCCCATCGCCCTCTGTGCAGGGATACCAGGTGCTGTACCGGCGGCGCGGTGGGCGCTGGGAGGCGTGGGATGTGCGGGCAGCGGGTGAACGGGGGGCTCTGCTCACGGGGCTGCGCCACGGCCAGGACTACGAGGTGAAGGTGCGGCCCTTCTACCTGCACCTCCACGGCCCCGACAGTGCCGTGCGTGCCCTGCGTATGCCTGAGGCAGGTGAGTGTGGGGCTGGGGGTGCAGGGTGTTCCCGCCATGGAATGCATTGTGGCCGTGATGTTCCACATCCCACAGCCCCCAGTGCTCCACCGCGGGCTGTCAGCGTGGCTGGAAATGGCACCAGTGTCCGCATCTCCTGGCAGCCACCACCACCAGCTGAGCAGAATGGAGTCATCCTCGATTACCGAGTAAGTGGGGCCTGCAGGGTCCTGCATCCCCCCACATCCCATATTCCCATTGCATGTCACATCCCCATCAAATCCTCATCACATCCCACATATATGTCATATCCATCATTCCTATAACATCTCGCATCTCCATCCCATACCTTATCTTCAAGGTGTTATTCCATATCCTTATCACATCTCCATTGCATCCTACTTTTCTACCTTGTTCCACCTCCCAGCTGCATCCCACAACTTCTCTGCATCCTATGACTCCACTGCATCCCAATCTCCATCTCATGCCACATCCCCACTACACCCCATGTATTGATCTCATCCTACAACCCTATTACACCCTGTATCCCCCATTGCATTCTGCGTTCCCATTATATCCCATGTCTCCATTGCATCTTGCATTTCCAGCAGACCGCACATCCCCAGCCCCCGTCCTAACACTGCACCTCTGCCCCAGATCTGGTGCTTGGGCAATGAGAGCCGCTTCCACATCAATCAGAGCGTGGAGGGGACAGTGCTAGCCACAGTGCTGCAGGGTTTGGTGCCCGGTGTCCCCTACCGTGCTGAAGTGGCTGCGGCCACAGGGGCAGGTGTGGGTGCTCACAGTGCGCCCATCGCCATCCGCATCGGTGAGTGTCCCCATGGTGATGCAGCACCCATGAGTGGGGATCTCTGTTGGGCTGGTAGCCAGGGATGGCTGCTTGGCACCGCTGGCATCCTATCCCATGTGCTTGCAGCACCCCCAGTGGAGCAGGACGTGGGGTCCGTGGGATGGGGCAGCATGGCGGAGCACATGGCTGCGGTGGCGAGGCGGCCGGCCTTCATCGCTGGTGTCAGCGGTGCCCTCTGGCTCATCCTCGCTGGGTTTGCAGCATGGCTTTATAGCCGCCGCCGCCGCAGGAAAGAGCTGAGCCATTTCACAGGTATGGATTGCAGCCTGGGACCCCCATCTGCTGCCCACCATACTCACACAGGGTTTCTTGTTGCAGCCTCCTTTGCCTTTGCGCCCACGGGTGCATCCATGGGTGCTGTAGGGCCACGTCATGGCCCCACCACATCTTCACTGCCACCCCCAGCTCTGTCCACACTCACCTTCCCACACACCCCAGTACCAGCACACAGCAGCCCCAGGTAACACCACATTCCCCCAGACCCGCAGCCCAGCCAGGCACCCCCATCACCATCAGTATCCCTGCAGGAATGCTCACCCATGGCTGGCGGATGCGTGGCGTGGTGGTGGCCTGGATGCCACCGAGAGATACTACAATGGTGAGGGGCTTCAAGGAGCTGGCGGTGTGCTGGGGGTGGGACCAACCCTAATGGGGTGGCCGTGCTCTGCAGAGGCTGGCATCTCCCGCTACATCGCCCAGACGGAGCCCTTTGGGCCCGGGAATGCCGAGGGGCCCATCTACAGCAGCATAGAGGCAGGGGGCGAGGAGCTGCGCACCTTCCACCGGCCCTGCTCACAGCATGGCCCTGAGATCCTGTATGGTCACTCAGCTCCTGGGCAGCACGGTAGGATCACTACCCCACTACCGTGGGGGGACACTGGCACACATCCCTGTGCCTGCAGCCCCACGTCCCTCACCCCAAAGGGAAAAACTTGGGGAAAGCGGTACAGACGCCGGTGCTGAGCTGGACCGAGCTACTGCCCCCACCACCCTCGGCCAGTGAGCTCAGCCAGTACACTGAGGAGGAGGAGGAGAAGGAGGAAGAAGAGATGAATGAAGAAGAGGATGGCATGTGAGTGTGCATGGTTGGGGAGGCTGCGGTGTGCTGGCTCCAGTGCCCACCCTGTGCTCCCCACAGCTTGGGGCTGGAGGAGCACTGTCCTTCCACTGAGGATGCCCCCCGGCACACTGCCTCTTCACCTGCCACCCCGACGGGCTGCTGGGCCCCGGCTGCAACAGCCCCTATGCCCCACGAGGACACTCGCAGCCTGCAGCGTTTCAACAGCCCCCATTCACCCCGGTAGGAGATGTCACATCACCCCTTGTCCCATCGCCATATGGCCACACCGGCACAATGGGATCATCACGATCTGTGCATGATGCTATCATGAGCCCAGGGTACAACAGCCTGCCTGGGACATGGCAGTCCAGCCGTGCCACCATGTCATGGCCCACCTGTGCTGCAGTCCTGCTGTGCTACTGCAATTCAACCACGCAGCTGTGATCCATCTGTGCCATTGTGACCCAGTGGTGCTGCTGCACTTTAGCCGTGTCACTGAAATTCAGCAGCACTGGTGTTGGTCAGATGTGCTGTTGAAATCCAGTTGTTCAATTGCATTCCAGGTTTGCTGTTGGCATTCTTCTGTGCAGCTGCACTCCAGCTGTGCCTCTGTGATCCCGCTGTACCGCTGCAGCCAGGCTGTGCCATTACAGTGCAGCCACACAGCTGTCATCCAGACCTGACCCTTCCATCCTACCCCACTGTGCCACTGCTCTGCTCTGCCCTGACACAGCACAGCACTGGGGCGTCCCCCTGTGCCCCCTTCTCCCCCCACTTCTTTCAGACAGCCCAACATCACTCCATGCCCCCTCTTCCGCAGGAGGCCCCCACGCGGCACTGCACCCTCACCGAGCCCCCCGCTGAGCCCCTGCAGCCCAGACACATGCAAGGGTCCCATGCCCCGAGCCCACCGCCCCCACGGCGCAGGTGAGCCTCACAGTGCAAGCGCAGGGCTTGGGGGGCCCTCACTATGTGGAGGGTGTCTGACATGCCATCATCTCCCGCAGGGAAAACACGCTCAGAAACCCCGAAGAGCCATCCAAAGCCCAAAGGCGGCCGCTACCCTCGGGAACAGTGGACGGGAGGTGGGTTTGTGCCCGGGGGAGGCCGGGGGCTACCCGCGGCGCTCAGCCCTCGCTTTGCCCCCGCAGCAGACCTGCCGCCGCCCCCTCTGCCGCCTCCGGGCGAGGCCCCCCCTCCCAGACGGGAGACGAGCGGAGCTGAGCGCAGAGCCGCCCACCGACCGCCCCGCCAAGGTGAGCTGGGATCCGGCCGCAGCGCCAAACCGCCGGCAGCGCCACCGACCCAGCGCCGTCCCTCCCCGGCAGGTGACGTTGTCCCCTACAGCAAACCCTCCTTCCTGGCCCGCGGCTGCTCCACCGCCGGCAGCGCCTCGTCCTGCGGCTCCACGGGCTCCCGCGGGCACGGTTCAGGGCGCAGCCCCCGCCCGGACCCCCTGGCTCCCCGCCCGCCGCAGGAGGAGCGATGAAGCGGCGCGGGGACGGTGACACGGGGAGGGGTATGCGTGGGGTGCTCGTTCATTTCTGTCTGTAAATAGGTGTGCACAGAGCCAGAGGGTGGGGGTCACTTGAGGGGGTTGAGGATGCACTGGGTGGGGATGAGGACGGGATAGATGAGGGGTGAAGACACTGGGAGGGACAAGGATGTTTGGGACAGTCGCTTGGGATGGAAAGACAAGGACCCTGGGGCCAAGGCCAGCTGGAGAGGAACATGAGCAGGAGGGCCACCCACCCACCTCAGTGCTCCCCAGCTGTGCACGTAGCATTTGCTAGCAGAGAGCCCCTTCTGGGGGAAATGATGAATAAAGCTGGATTGTAGCCAAGCTGGAAGGATTCTGGCCTCAACGCTGCTTTAACACAGGAGCTGCCACACTCCTGTCCCTTCTGTCTCTGGGAAGGAGCCCACCCCACTGGCTGCCCACTTGGGGAATCCCCATGAGGCTGCCCATCCCCGTCCCCTTCCCTGTCCCCGTCCCCAGGGCCACCTCCCCGCACAGAGGGGATGATGCCAGGCGGTGCAGGGGGGCAGCAGCTCCCTCACCACTCCCATCGATGTCCTCGAGGCTGAAGCAGAGGCTGTCAACAGCCACAGCCAGCGCACGGGCAAAGCTGGCATCGAGCAGGAAGGAGCCATCAGAGGAGCTGGCCAGGCTGCAGCGGGTGCTGGGGACAGTGTCCTCCGTGACAGACCCCCATCCGTTCAGCAGAGAACCCCCCGGTGAGCCCTCATGACCCCACACCTCGGGCTTCTCTTCCTCCTCCTCTTCTTCCTCCTCCTCTCCCTCGCCCATCTCAGAGGTGGGAGGCCCACAGATGTACCCATAGGTGTGGGGAGGGGACAGGGGCCGGGGCACAGAGACACGCTGGGGATGTGCTGGGGACACCTCTGGCCTGGGGGTGTTCGTGGGGTGGTGGGCCTCCTGCACCCTCTCCAGGTCCTCGGCAACCCGCTGCGGGGTGAGGACCCCATCACTGAGCGCTGGTGAGAGGCGGCCGGGCTCTGGGGACACGTCTTTGGTGGCCATCAGCGTGTCTCTGGGCTGTCTGGTTAGCACAGACATGTCCCTGGGGTTCTGGAGGACCATGGACATGTCGTCAGGGTGCCTGGCTGCTGGGAACATATCTCTGGGACACCTGGTGGCTGAGAACATGTCACTGGTGTGCTGAGTGACTGGAGACATGTTCTCCTGAACTGTGGTGGCCAGGGAGTGACTGGAGGCTGGGGACAAGTCCCTGGGGCTCCTGGTGGCCGGGGACTTCTCCTTGGAGTGCCCAATGACTGGGGATCTGTCCCTGGGGCACCCAGTGACTGGGGACACATCTCTGCTAGGTCTTGTGGCCAGTAACATGTCCTTGCGGCTCACAGTGGCAGGGGACATATCTACAGGGCTCCTGGTGACAGAGGACATGTCCCTGTGGTTCCTGGAGTTCTTGCTGTTCCTAGTGACTGGGGACACATTCTTGGGGCTCCTGGTTACTGGGGACATGTCCCCAGGATTCCCAGTAACCATGGACGTGTCTTTGGGGATCCCAGTGACTGGAGACGTGTCCCTTGAGCACCCCATGGCTGGGAACCTGCAGGCACATAGGATATGTTGGCTTTTGCCACTGCAGCACCTGGCCGGGGCAGGGAAGGGGACAGCCTATAGCACCCGGGGCATCCCCTAGAGACACACAGACTCACCGGGTCCCCATGGGGTGCCAGGCGTGCGGATGTCCTGCAGGTACCACCAGCATCCCAGCACCAATTGATGCCACCGAACTGCGCCGTGGTTTCGGGGAGCTGATGGTGGGCAGCCACCATGGGTCCTCTCCTGCTAGTGCCGTGTCACCGTCCTGTCCTTTCTGCTGAGGCCATCTGTCCACTGAGTCAAAACGTGTCCCCCACTCCCCACCACACAAGGGCACGGGAATGGCCCTGAGCCCAGCCACTGGCACTGGGGAGCTGTGTGTACGGTCCAGCTCTGCATGGGGACACAGCCATCAGCCACCATGCTGCTGTCCCCAGCATGCTGCCCCATCTCCCTGTCCTGTTCCCACCTCGCTTGCGGAAGTGCTCCCACAGTGCCAGGCTGGACGTGCTAATTTTGGGGTGTTCTCTGCAGAGGTGGCTGCAGCTGGGGGTCGTCACAGGGCTGAGGCTCGGCAGCTCCGAGGTCAGGGCTGGAGAGGAAGAGCTGTCAGGCTTGGGCACCCTTGGGTGCTGACACATGAGCCCCTCCATCCCAGGCACTACCTGTCCCAAATGGGGGCCCTGTACCCCCCATGTGTGTCCCAGGCACTCTGTAAGAGGCATTGAGTGGGGATCCTACAGCATCACCTGAGAGTCTCACTAGATTTGGTAAGAGTCCCACAGCATCATGGGGATGGGGAGGTTGGAGGTAGTGGATGGGGTGGCCATAGAACCTTGAAAGAGAGTCTCAGGCACCTGGGTGAACTTCCCAGGGCAGTGCATGGGCATCCAATGGCACTGGATAAGGAGTTCAAGGTACTCTGTGAGTGTCCCACAGAACCCTGTGGGGGTCCCAAGTCCCACTGGGGATCTCGTAGCCCTCTGGAGGCATCCCAAGCATCGGGTGGGAGTCCCATAGCACCCTGTGGTATTTCCATAGCACTGGGTGAAGGGTTCCAGGCACTGAGTGGAGGTTCTAAAGCATAGGGGAGTCCTATAGCCCTGGATGGGGGTCCCGACACAGGGCTCACGAGAGGGCTGGGGGTCCCTGCTGTCGCTTCCCAGGAGCCGGCTGCTGAGGCTGCTGCTGCCACTGAGGTTCTGAGGAACACAGACAGGTTTCCAGGGGCTGCTGAGCCATGGCACATCAGCGTCCTCCCGTCTGCAGGGCAAGGGTTGCCATCAGTATGCCACCCCTCCTGTGCCAGAGAACCCCACAGATCCCCACCACAGTCACTCACCCATGTTGTGCCATGGAGTCCCGGCTGGCGCGACGCTGGCAGATGAGGAGGAGGAGGGCAAGCAGGGCCAGCCACAGCAGTGAGCCAGTGGCTGCGATGACCGCAGGCTGCTGCAGCACCTGCACCACTCCGGTGCTCCCTGCCATCATCTCTGCAAGGGCATAGTCAATGTCACCCTATGTCACTGCTCTATTCCCTGCTGCATCCCACAGCAGGCCCCTTTTCCTACCCAGGATGCCACAGGTGATATTGCTGGGGATCCCCAGCCCTGCACCATTGAACGCGGCTACTTGGATGCAGTATCTGGCCCCAGGGCCATGCAGGAGGGTCTCCAAGCGACGCGTTCCTCCATCTACTGTACGGTTGGTGGGTTGTAGCCAGCCCTCGCCCAGGGACCAAACCTAATGGGTGCCAATAGGTGAAATTCCCTTGAGGAAACCCCTTGGGATAGATTCTCTTGGATGACTACCCTTATAAAACCCCTTGGATGGATTTTCTTGGATTGGCCCCTCTTTGATGGCCCCATTGGTTTGACCTCTTTGGATAATTCTCCCACCTTGGATGTATCCCTCTTGGATGGAACCCCACCATGAATGTATTCTTCCTTGGATGAAGCTCCCTTAGATGGAACTGCCTTAGATGGACACCCTTGTCCCTTCAAACCTGGTAGCCCCGAATGATGCCATTGTGGGCATCTGGAGGAGGTGGCTCCCAGCTCACGATGACGGTACTATTCCCTGGTGCAGCCTGGCCCACGGTGACACGCTGGGGTGCTGCGCTTGGCACTGCTGGGACAGCAACACTGAGCCCCTAAGATCTCCACATAGCTCCCTACATCTCCCCTCCCACCCAACCCAACCTACCTTCCTCAGGGATCCAGAGGTGCCAGCTGTTGCTGTCCAAGCCCTGGGTCCCACCAGCGTAGGGTCGGACCTTGAATTCATACTGGTAGCCCCGCTGGAGTGCAGGGATGATGGTGCTGAGCTCCCTGCCCACGTCCTGCTGGGACCAGGCAGTGCTGGCAGGGAGCAGACAGCGATACAGCACCACATAGCCCTCTGGAGCTGGCCCTGGTGTCACCATCTGGATGGGACAAGAAGGGTTATGGGGACGTAAGGAGAGGATCTTATTCCACCACTTGGTTGAGGCACACCTACCCTCCAGCGGAGCCAGACAGTGGCGTTGGTGGGCAGTGCAGTGCCATTGTCCAGCTGCAGCTGCACAGCCAGCAGGTTCTGCCGTGTGGCCTCCCACCGGCCTGCCGGCAGCTGCCCTGCAGGAAAGAGGAAGGATAATGGTGGCACCTGCACCCCAGAAAGACATGCCTGGAGACCAAGGCATCTCCTCGCATGGTTACACTTAAATGGACCCTTTGGATGAAGAGCCTTTGAACGGCCTTCTTGGATGGATCCCATGGTGGATTCCCATTAGTGCATCCTTCTTAGATGGAACCCTTGGATGGATTCTCTTGGCTGGATCTCACTGTAATGAATCCCTCCTGACAGAACTCCCTAGATGGATCCCCTTGGAGGAAGCAGCTTAGTTGAATCCCATTTGTCCTTTTGGATGAGTTCCCCTTTGATCCTCTTGAGTGGACTCTCCTTAAACTGACCTCTACTCAAATGATTCCCCTTGAATGGACCTTGTCTGAATGGAACCTTTTGGATAGATCCTGTTGTATGGAATCCTTTAGATGGACCTGTTCATACAAAACCCCCTTTTGGAAGGATTCCTACCCCCTTGACTTCATTCTTCTTGAATGTATCCTCTGAGATGACTCAGTTAGATAGGCCCTTTGCTGATGGACCCCCTTGGATAGACTCCCCTTGGATAACTGCTTTGGATGAACCCTTTGGATGAACCCCCTTAAAGCAAACAATGAAACTGAGCTCCATTAGATGGCCCACATCAGCTGAATCCTCAGATGCCCCCACGTGGTGTCCCTGGTGGTCCCCACTGACCCTCCACATGGAGGCGGGCGGTGGCAGCAGCGCTGCCCAGCTGGCTCTGGGCTGTGCAGACATAGGCACCACCATCAGCTGCCGTCACCGCGTAGAGTCGCAGCGTGTG